TCTAAGGCAGCTGCTTCATTGACCTAACATGAGCAACGGCCCTGCATATATCTGCAGGGTCCTGACTAAGTTTGTAGACTCATGGCCCCATGAGGGCAATACACTCTCCAGTTAGATCTACAACTGCGCTTAATCGTTAGTTTTTAAAACCGTGCAAGCTAATTAATCAGGGAAAATATATATATTTCCTTTAAACACATGATCTTACAATATCTCCCAATTTTGCATGAGCATTTTTCTAATATCGTCGATACTCCAAAAGCAGAATGCAACTCATCTTGAATTTTTTTTATGTTCTAAATGACTTTAGTGGAATCTGAAAAGAATTTAACCAATATTGCATGGGCAATTCTTTAATGTGGGTGTATTTTTGGTTTTTGAATGTTTGCAATATTTTTCTCATCGTTTTGCCTTTTCTATAAATAAGAGAATCATTTTCTCATAACAACAACCATACATTTTATTCTACAAGATAAGGGTCGGTTACATTATTTGTACAATGTTATTATACTATCAAATCTTTAGGTACACCAATAATCAAAATGTCTTATTCAACAATTTTATTAAAACTTTGTGTTTCACTTTTTTTACTGGCATCTCTCATGACCAAGAGAAGCATTCTTTCATTATTAAAAAAGAAAAACACGAAGAAGAAAATAAGAGAATCATTATTAACGCAGCTATGCATTAAACCTAATTCAATGACGTCGTCGTCCTGCTGCCTGAGATGTTTCCTTCATTCTCCTCGTATTATGGCGAATAACAAGGAAATCAATTTTATGTTAATATTTTTTTTTTGGCAAGGAATTTTATGTTAATATTTGATATTGTTAGTCTTATGATTCTTATGTCAGATAAATGATAAATTCTTGAATAAATTTAGTGTATCACGTTATTCATATTCTGTTTAATAAAAACATGTTAGGTTGTGTATTTAAATTCAATGAATAATTTGAATCCACTCACTCAATGAATATATCAATTATAGCCATTGAATTTTATTAATACTAAAAAATTGTTAAGAAACATTTCTTTTAAAAAATTCAAAACAATACTCACAATCAAAGTACTCCTCATATATGTTGTTAAATTCCTTTCAAAAACTTGAGATTTTGTATTTTCTGATAAAATTTTTTATAATTATTCAGTTAAATCGAACTGTTATTATTATGTCATACGATACACTCATTGAGTGAATAGACTTAAGCTTCTTCTTGAACCCAAATCTATCAAGTTACACTAGTTCAATCAAACAAAATTTTATGCATTATTATTTTTAATGACTTTATTTTTGAAATAGAGTTTTTTGTCTTTTTTTTTCTCTTTATCATCATCAATGATAAAATAAATTTATATTTTTAATCATTAGATATGCCATATTTTTATTGAATAAAGTATAAATGATGTGGCACACTAAATTCATGAAAAAATTTTCATAAATAAATGTCAGAGTCCGTTCTAATAATAAATAGATGGATAAATACTGTCAATAAAATATACTAATTAAGGAACTGGACAAGATATAATCACAATTCACAATAAGCCATATTTTGAAAGCAAATGCGAATGCTCCCTCCGTTTAAAAATATAAAGTATTTTTAACTAAATTTTACCTTCTAATAAAGTAATTATCTACTTTCCAACTAACTTTATATTTTCATATTTATCCCTATTAAACACTCTACAATAAATATAAAATTATTATTAATAGAGATACTTTTAAAAAATAATAATAATTACACCTTAAAAATTTAAAAATGCCTTATATTTTATATCATCTAACTTCTCAAAAAATAGCTTACATTTTTGAATGAATGGAGTATCTCTCTCTTTACTTTGTATAGGAAGTTTAATTTTAATTTTATAAAATATTTTTTCCATCTTTTAATTTTAAGATTGTTAGTTTTTTTAATAAAAAATATTAACATTGAACTTTTAAATTCTAACAAAACATTCTTAAGTATTTACATATTCAATTCAAATTTTGAAATAATACTCAAAATTGAAATACTTTAGGCTAACCATGTTAAGATTATAGTTGTCAAACTCTTGAGTTGACTCGTTGAGTTGAATGTTTTTATATTTCAAACTTATAAAATTATATCAACTCACTCATAAATTTGAATTGGATATAAATTTAGTTAAACTTGTAAATTTACTGTTTTTACTTTTTTAATTTATAAAATTGTGTCAACTAATTCATAAATTCAAACTAAATGCAAGCTTAGTTAAACTTGTTAATTTTTTTTCAATTAAGCTATTTAAATATATGCTATAAAGAATTCAATTCATAAAAGTTATAAAACCTGGTTTAAAAAAAACTTAAAATATAAAAATTAATATTAATAAAAAGGAAAACAAAAGATACCAAAAATTAAGTTTTCCTATTTTAAAATTTTTATGTTTTATATGTGATAATTTATCAATGTAGGTGGCTTTAATTTCAATTATTCATATTTTAAATATATTTAAATTAAATAACAGTCATATTTTAATAATTATTTATTAATAGAGGTAAAATCTTTCAAGTTTACAGTTTGAGTTTGCAATATGAGTTTACATTCTTCTTATAAATTTATTTAATTTCGTGAGTTTGACAACCTTAATTAAAATTAAATAACTGAAAAAATCACTTAAGACAGACCATGTTAAGATTAAATAACTAAAAAAATACTTTATAAAATTAATGGATTCAATTGAAATTTTATTAAATTAAAAGACTAAATATATACTTTTACCCATTTTAAATCATTTGTTTATTTATTCATTTTTGCCAAGATAATGGATCGATTAATGAACATAGACCTAAATTGAAGCCATAAATTGAGGTAAAGGTAGGCAGACAAGATACCTCCTTTCTCCAGAATTTGCATGACGACCAACTTATGAGCCGATCTCAGATTGTCAATTTAATCCGCAGTTGATTAAGTCAAATCTTTAACGGACATTTAAACTAGTTTAAAGAAAACTCAATTTTCATAATTTGATATCGACAAGATTAAAATTTATAGAGATATTTGCAGCAAAATTCCATAGTAAAATCTGAAAATTAAAAAGACACTATGTTTGAACAAAGGTATCGAATTATGCACAAATCTGTTGTTCCGATATCATATAATTTACATTGATAAATTGATTTAAAAGAGATTTTAGTTAACATATGTAAGATTTTTTATTTCATTTTTTGTGAATTTCAACTTTCAAGACAGTCCATTGCCATTTATCTCTTCGTTCTATAGTTTTGCCAAACTAGGTACGTAATCTTGAATCTTGATTTGATTATTGTCAGATCAGAAGATGATGTCCTGTTCAAACTTGGGGATCGATCAAATTATCAAAATGTCAAGCATTACTATCACACGCTTCCAATAATTTTTTAAATAAACATAAAAAGAGAAAAAAATATTTTTATAACTCCCTCCCTTTTCTGTTTTTCCTTTTGTTAGTTATTATTATAGTATAAAAATTTGAATCAATCTACCTTGTTGAACTAATAAACTATTAAATTAATGTCTTAACTAATTTAATAAAATATTTTATTTATGACTAATATAATTATGATTCGATTACGATTTTGATCGTTAGCCCTTGAACTATATTTTGATTGATTTAATGATATAAGGTTTTTAGTATTACTAATCACAAATTAGAAAAATTATAACAAAGGACCCAAAAAAAGTAATATTTATTAGAGAGGACCTTAAAAATAATTATTATTTAAAAGGACCAAATATCAAAATATATTTTAAAAACACTATATTGATCCTAGTTACATATTCTACATTTTTTCTAACCACATTCATGCGTTGCATTTGATAGTTACTAATAAAAATACATTATTTGATAGAAAGTTATTTTTTATATAACAAGGAGACAAAAAAAAAAGAAAATTAAAACAAAGATAAATTAATGTTCAGGAACCATAGCAAGTTAATAATTTTATATCTCTTAAAAATTCACATGTCTAAACATCGAGACAGCGTATTCTTGGAAAAATTAAATAATTATTTAAAAATGAATATTTTTATAACTATATTGATTTAATTTTTAAAATTATATATTTTAAAATATATAAATACTGACTGAATTATTTTTTTAGACCAAAAATATCGATTCAATTATTTAAAAGTAAATATTTTTTTAAATTATATGTTTTACTACTTTTGTTTTCTGGTGTGAAATTGAAAAATGCACAACTTTATTTTTAAAAGAGTACTTTGTAATTTGGGCTACCCCATATTAATTTTAAGGTTGACAGATTTTATATTAAAGTTGTAATAATCAATTATACTTAGATTGGTCCTTCATCCTAATTTGAATATTTAAGGTCTTTTATAATAAATTTTAATTGCATTAGATCCCTCTCCCTAATTTTTCCTCTCAAATTCTAAGAAAACTGTTAAATTTAGTTTTTATCTTAAAATCACTTCTTTTTTAAATTTCTCCCTCAATTAAATGTTATTATTACCAAGGGTCTAACAGAAAAAGCCGATCCCTCATAACATAATAAATTAAGATTTAAATTTCTATTGAAAAAAAATACCTATATTTAATACCCAATTGTATTCCAAACATAATTGCCTCCAATAAATAGATACATGTGGATAACCCAAAAAAAAAAAAAAAAACGTCATGATTCTCTCAACTTCAAATGTCTTGAAATTTTTGAATTCTCAATCTTTTTAATCATTTATGAAGGGCATTTCAGAAAAAAATCATTCATTACTCCTAAAAATTTTTAGAGTGCCTTGTAATTAGGGATATGAAGAGTATCATCATTAACCACTCTACACGGGCAAAGGAAAGCACTCAATCCCCCTAAAATATTCCAATCTTTCCAAATATACCCTCTATTAAATGCAGTGAACTCTTTTAATGAAGAATGAATAAATGGGGGTCTAAGTTTTTTTTTTTTTATTTGTAAGAAATATTTTTAGGATAAACACAGTAATTACTCTCAAAATTTTACAAAATGACTTATAAAATGAAACACAGAACCCTTCAACAAAATAACTTGTAATATATAAAAGAATGAGTGTGTTTGTCAACAACTTCTGGACATCTTTACCATCTACTTCACAGAGGACAGACACATGACATTTCTGAAGCAAGTAGTTTTTAATACATGGGGAAAGGCCACAAGGGTAAAGATGAAAGCAACAATCAATAAGGTCATGAGCCCCAATGCTACATCGTAACTCAAGACATCTGTAAGTGAAAACAAACACAATGCGGCTATAATCCGGTAAATCGATGATTCGACATACCATAAACCAAAAGCGTAATAAGCTTTGACTCACATCATATATAATCTCTTCACTTCCGTATAGTGACAGATTCTTAAAATTAAGCACCAATCAGATCAGCACCCCTGGCATGCTACCAGTTATACGATATCATTGCCACTCCTTCCAATTATATTTCTAAGAGTGGAATTGCTCCCTTTTCTCATACATTTATCCCAGAAACAGATTTCTTGGTCTGAAATCACGTAACTAAGTATTTTGTACTAGAATCCTTCTGAATCAGAATTACATATCATTCAAAGCAACATAGAGTTGTAGACCATCAAGTGGTGGGGGGGAAAACATGCCTCATGCCCTTATCCTTCAAGGCTTAGCAAAGCAGAAATGCCTCAGGAAAAGAACTCCCAATTTTGGTCAATCAAGAACTAAAATCGATTGATTGCCACCATACATAAGATAGATTCGGAGACCTTTCCACAAGAGAATCCGACATTTTACAAGTGGTGCCTGCCATGTGGAAGTAAAAACAGAGTCACCAGCTAAATTTGGTGGTTTTCAGACGTGCAGTTCTACTTTGATTGAAGAGCATGGGGAAAAAATAGGTGAAATTGAGTTCCACGCCAGCAGGCAGAAGAAGGCTCCATGCAACCAAAACTGCAAAATTTAGTTGTCAGCAATCACAATAAGTTACATCTACAATTCTAATTTTTCTCCAACCACTTGCCTGACTTATTATATGAGACATATCCACTTTCTCTTCTCTGGCTTTCACCATCTCAAAATTTTTGCAGATACATCAAACCTTGAATTTCCGGATTAGACTCTTTTTCAACCTGAAAGGACCTTCCATGCACGGCCAGGAATTCAATTTATAATTTTAAACAACCCACTTTGCCTCATCCATTTTAGGGATGACAATATCTTCCCTCATTGCACTTGCATATTTCTTTCCAACGGGTGCCCCAGCCTGTGCAAACAGCTCAACCACTGCAGGCAACATTCCATAATATCTCTTCAACCCATTTACCAAAGGTTCACTAGATAGCGGATCTCGAATATGATAGACATACACTGGAGGTACCAAATCATTGATTGTAGCCTCCTGCCAAGCATGCTGCCCATCCCTCATCTGGTGTTTGTAGGCTTGACAATTTCGTACTCTATGACCTTTAGGTCCTACTTGCACCTCTGGACAATATCCACAAGTTTGTACAGCATACTTCTCCATAAGTTTTGAAGCTCCAGTGCATATTTTCTCCCATGCTTTCATTCCTTGAACAGCCATAACTTCACCAAAGCCTGCTAACAAGCACAGTCTGTTTTTAAAAACTATAAAAGAAAAATGACAAAACAAGAAGGAAAAGGAAAATGGAATTCGGCTCCACTAACCTTGAATATCAATATAATGCAACTCCATTGAATTCGCACCTTCATCCACCCTCTTTTTTTCATGCCAAAACCCACTTGCGTCTATGTCTTTGCCAGGAGAAATATCTTTGGGAAACCTTTTCTCAAAATCAATTATCCTACCAGCCAAAGAGTAAACAGGGAAGGCCCTTCTCCTGGTGGGGTATTCAGGCATGTCAACACCTGCCTGCATACACAATTCAACAATTGCAGGAATTCGGTCCACTTGGAGCATTTCATTATGTGAAACTGCCCTTCCTACTCTGTCATACAGATGAAATGACTCCACAGTTGGCAAAATATGTCCAAGACCTCCTCTGACCCAACTATGCTGTTTGCTTGATAAGCTTCCTCTAACATTACATGATTTTATTTTATGTGGTGGATGACCAACATGAGCTTCTCCACACAAGCTGCAAATTAAATGTCAAAATCTCAATTTTTTAAGAAAAAAATCCGACATCGTGAGATATGTCAACATAACTTGCAAAAGCTCTTGTTTACATCAAGAGATGCTCCAAAACCCAGCATGCATTGAACCATAGTCTATCAGATTAAGGTTCTTATCTAAAATAATGCAAGTCTGAGTAATTGAAAAAATCCAGATGACAAAACGTGGCCCTTAGTTGGAAGTTAGAATACAGACATCATAATTCATTGGGAAGCCCTTGAATGTAGGAAAACGCCAATATCTAAAATAAATAGTGGCACTACCTGCATGTATAAATAGCAATGTGCTTGACAAGCCTTGAAACAATAGATAGAAGTTCAAGTCTGGCCGCATAGACTTCATGCGCAACAGGAATTAATTCCTTCACCAACAAGCCATTTTCAGGAGGTTGTAGTATAATCTCATGCACCTTTTGCCTATCCTTCTTTTTCTGTCTAGCTTCACGCTTCAGTTCATTAATACTTCTCACCAGTGGCTTTCTCTCAGATTTCTTCAGTTTTCTTGGCAACTCAGAGCTCGCAGACACAGTCATAAACCATTGACAAAATTGCTTATTTACATCCCTCAGCTTCGTGCAACCAGAATCTTGTACAGCTCCGCAAATGAGATTGCCAACAATTTGTGCACTTCTAACTAGCACCATAGCTTACCAGAAATTCATGTGCTGCTGAAATACATTTGAAGAAAAAATTCATACAGAGAGTGAAAGCTGCAAAAGAAACGGCAGCAGAAGTTCATATATTTTCTTGAGATTTGCATCTTTATAATAAGTAATTACATAACTATTTAAAATATGAAAACTATACCTTTTAGCCAGTTAATTCAAAATAAAGACAACTGTAGAAAAATGAATAATCTTAAAATTAAGATATATGCCAACTGCCTATCCTATAACGCATCTTATCAACGTAATTTAGAAAAATCTCAATAACTATGGACCTCAAATTTCCAAATTCATCCTTTTAACTAATTTGATGTTAACATTATTCTGCTTTTCGATTTAAGGTGCCTTATACCCGCATTCTGCGCTGCAACTATAACCCCTATTCACTTTAAGTTACAGTTAACAAAAGTTTCCTCCGCTGCACCGTGCGATCGGTAGGTTTCCCAAGATGAAAAAGCATGAAGTATATTAAAACCTGAAGCGTAAATTCCTAGTGACGGCAACATTGATGGCTTGGGAGGATGAAATCGAAGAAACCGGCAGCATAAGAAAGAGACCGTTGCCGTTGCAAGGATGAAAGAATCTGTTGCCGTCGGTGGCTATGTAGACGGTGAAGGAGACAGAGGTTTCCTCAGCAATGTCGACGGCGGCGGCAATAGAGGTTTCCTTGGGCTGTCTCCTAGGGGAGGGAGAGTCAGAGCCTCGGGGGCTGAAGATCGTCTGATGGGGGTGAGGGCACAATAGGAATGTTGCAAGTGTCATGGGGACAATTTGATAAAATCACATACTTTCCAATTCCATTGAGGAGAGAGTCTCCGCTGATATGTTCACGAATCACGAAGCCGCCTGCCGCCTGCCGCCTGTAATTTTTTTTTTCAGATGTTTTTAGTATTTATAAATATTCAAATAACAAGCGTCACACATTTTTACTAACATTATAGAAATTAAAAATATTTAAAAAACTTCTAGAGATTAAAAATAAAGCTTAATGAAATTATAGGATTAATAATTATGTTTTTCTTTTTTTTAATAGAAATTTCATTCAAAAGACTGGCAAATACTTACTGTAGGCATTTCTCTCGATGCAATTGTGAGGGAGTAGCCTCTTTTGGGGGGATCAAATTTCTCTGTTTTTTTTTTCAAATTACATTTAAAAAATTGGTAAGAAATTTATTGACGAATAAGGGTTAATAATAAATTTTATTCTAAAAAATAAGTTTATATTTATATTTTAAAACAATATATTTTATATATTTTTTTTTCTCAAATAAGTTTCTTATCAGTAGTTTTTTCATTTTTTTTAAATCTGGTAAATAACCAAGAATTTCTTGCTACATATGGGCCTTCAATCTTAAACAGGCCCATAAAATTAATTGTAATTGGGCTTTTGAAATAATAGGCTTACTACGGATTAGGCCCATATAGTTCTGTTCGTTAGTATTCCCTGGTTTTGTTTCTACAGTTGACAGAGTTTGACATGCACACACCCAAAAAAAAAAAAAAAACTGGCAATTTGCATATGAAATTGAACTTTCCTAGGAAAAAACAGTACAACGTAGAATTAAAAGGCAATATCAGCCCATATTTGTTTGACTAAAAAATAAGGATTGTATTAGGTTTTCAACGGTCAACATATAAACTTTATCAAATCTTATATGAATATAGACAATTTAAAAATTTGTTTGTGAATAAAAACATATTAAAATTATATAATCTATATAACTGACTTGCTTAATAAGATCAGACTTGTTGTATAGAATTAAGGGACAAGATGTTGTGTTAAACACAAACTAAATGACTTGCATTCAACACAAACTGAGAGAAATAAGGAAGTGAAGGGTCATCCAACACCATACATAATATGAAATAAACTGATAATTGTTCCCCACCTTTAAAGCACTGGACATTAATTACATATACAAAATACAAATACCCTCACATGGATTTAAATAAGTACATAGAAATTTTTTTTAAAAAAAGTGTGTATTATAATTATATTGAACTGGAAAATATGAGAAACAAATTGTAGAAGAGATCAGTAGCTTTAATTTTTGGACTTGGGCTTCTTCACAATCATCACTGAGCAGTTTACATGATGAGCACAATAATCACTCACACTTCCCAAAAACGCCCTGCATAAAAAACTCGATCAAGTTAGCCGCAATTAATTAACAATTATTTTATTTTTGGATTTTTATAAATTGGTTTTGCGCTGTTAATTCAATGTAAGTTTCATGTATTGCACATAGTATAGGGGGAAAAAACAAAACAACTTAAGGCACTCTTCTTAACATGTGAATGATAAGACTCATTATGTATCTAAAAATTAACCACATGACTCGCTATAAATTTTATATTAATATTGAAATACTAATATTAATATATTGATTTATTTTAAAGTTGCAGACCCAATTTAAAAAAAAAATCTGAAATATAGTGAGACATAAGGATTCAAAGTTTCTTAATATATTTAAAAAAAATTCAAGTCGTTCATGGATAAAATGGCAAAGAATTATTCATGGATTATATTTAAAACAAAATTAATTGTGACCTTTGAATCTTCTTTTTCTTTATTTGGATAATCTAGATTGCATTATTTGGTAACAAAATTGATTAAAATTAGACGGTTCAAAATTTATTTTATATTGTATAATTCCATTTTTTCCTTAAATAAATAGAATTAAACATAAAAGATACCTTTTGAGTTTGCCATAGCCATGGCTACCGAGAATCAAGACAGAAGCATGGTGTCTATCAACAGCATCACACAGCACATTCCTTGCATCCCCTTCTATCACTTCCACTTCCACATCTTCCACCTTCCACATTGTTATATCATATAATCAAATTAATATATATACATAGTATTGATCATTAACTATTCATCTATATGTGTGTGTGTGTAATAAAACTTACAAATTTATCAGCACACATCTGTCTTGCCTTGTCTGTAATTTGATCAGCAACCGTCTTTATTTGCACTTCCAATGTCGGCAGCACATCTACAAATGCTTTCCACCAAATAATTTTATCACAATATATTTCTAACTATACCCTTTATTTTTAACATGCATATATATATAGGAAAAATGATTGCATTTTTTTTTTTGCATGTTAATTTTTTTGAAATAAAAATGTAAGAACGTAGAAAATCCAATCTGGAATGAGTAGGGTTAGACATACAAGGGCCGGCGACGCTGACCGGGATGGGAGTGAAGGGGCGAGCGTAGAGAATGACGAGCTTGAAAGGAGACGGAGAAGATTGGAAAGGCGTGAAGAAGGTTTGGAGAGTCCATTCTAAAGCATAAGAGCTGTGCTTATTTTCATCCATGGCTACCAACATCACTTTCTTCTCTCCCATTTTTGCACTCTCTCTTTCTCTCTTCAAATTTCACTCTTTTCTTACTCTTTCTACTTTCTACCTCTCTCTCTTTGTGTATTATCAGCTATATATAATGAGATTCATGAAGGATAAAATCATTAATATAATTAATATTATCAAGATTTATCCTGTTTAATTTATTGAAGGTAGCCTTTGGAATTCTTGAAAAGACTGTGTTTTTGCCATATTCATGACTCCTTATTGTGGGCTGTTATTTCAGAAAATATTTATTATGGGACTGTCCTAATATTGAGAATAAATTATGGAGTAATATTATTTACATATGTAGCTAATTATTCTTAAAGCTATCCAATGCAGTCATAATTTAAATTGAAATCACACAAACACCTGACAACGTATGAATGAATCTAATATATCTAATAGGGGTAAATTATTTTTTCCCTTTCTTTTGAAATGACTAATTAGTATTTACAAGAATTTCTCTATCATATTTTTTTTAATACGAATTTCTCTATATCTTATATATACATTATTTTGGTCTTTACTAAAAAAAATATGAGAAATTACAAATATAATTAATATTTATCCAACAGCATTGGTCAAAAACATAAGTTTACTAAATATTCTTAGTAAAATTTTATAAAACCAAGAATAATTATTAGTGATTAAATATCTTTTGGAATTTTTGAAAGGACATATGATTAATAGTGATCTTGATATTCCGTGGACAAAATAGAAATATTGATGACGTACAGCGCAGCTATGAAGTTTGAAATATGCTAAAATTGTTACTGTCTTTTACTTGGAACAGCTAAAAAAAAAAACAGCTAAAAGATTAAAGACCACAGATTCTGGCCATTTTCCCCCAAATAAATATAGAAAATTGTTGATTTATTTTCACGCTTCCATGGATAGGAGAATCCATGATTATCCTAACAAACAAAATATGCTCAGCCGCATTACTCATACACGAATAATACACTTTATCCTTATCTCTTTAAAAGCGACGAGAAATATTTCGAAAATTTTATAATCCAAATTAATTCTTTATTAGAAATACAGATTAAAAGTCCTTGATAAGAAATATATGTCATTTTTTTCATATAATCAATTTTTCCCCGTTTTTGTGATGAAATAATAAAACTAAAACGCTACCTCGGAGAACGCAACTCACTCTCCTAGGCAACAATATGAGAATTGAAAAATAAACGAATTCCGAGCCACTCACCCTCACGCGCTGACATCCCGTCCTCCCCACGACATGCTCCATCGACATTAACATTCAACATGTTCTAAGGTGGTGGCCTCCACCGCCTCGCACTGCACTGCTGATTCTGTGTCATGATTCTGCCCATTGCAAGCAAGCCCTCACCTGATGGGCAACGATACCCGAAGCATCAACGGACTTCATAGTAAGCCACGGTTGCCTATACAAACCAATGCAAACCAGACATTGCAGCCTGCACCTCTAACCATCCGCGTATGGCTCAAATTCCACACCATCCATTGTACATTATTCTGATAAGACAAGAAAGCCCTTCGTAGATCACTCCCTCAAGACATGTAAGATATCCTCTCTTCCTTCCCCACACAACGTACAACTCTCATCTCAATGAATACCCCTTGAGACACGCACAACGTTCATTACTAAACGATCCTTCAAGCCAAGCCACAAGAACGTCCTACATCGGCGCGGTCCATTTCGATAACCCTCTCCGTCGTCTCTGCAGAGACTCCAGTAAGCAGATTTAGTCAAGAATTCGCCATTGTTTGTCCACTTCCATGTCGGTTCATCATCCCTTCCCTTTGTCACATGCTCTCCATACTAATAGCTCGTAACACTCCCATGCTCCAGTTGGGGATACGTAATCACTAACTAGTGACTGGTCTTGTTGCATACCTCAGCAAATTCTGGGGATGAGATAACCGCATGTCATGCCAGAACTGCATCTTATCGCCCTCCCCTAACGTCCCAGCAACCCCCTTCTTCGTGTCTTTCCACGCCTCCTGTATACGCTTCTTTGCCCGTCACCCCTTTCGGTGACCGTCAGTAGATGGCAGAATCTCATCCCCACACTTAAATTAATTTCTCCCTCATAAATTTGACCCAAGGCGCATCCCTGTGCTTGACCAAGCCCCACCCCATTTTCATCATGAACCCTTGATTTTGGACTCTCGGGTTCTGCAACCCCAACCCCCCATTCTCTTTTTCTTGATGCACATCCTTCCACGCCACCAAGCTCGTTCACCTGTTCATTCCTGATTCTCCCCACAAAAATGTCCTACACTTCTTATCTATCTCTTGACAAGTGCCTACAGGCAACAACGCGGACTGCATGGCATGTGATTGGCATACCAGCCACCACGGATTGTACCAAAGTGTGTCGAGTCACCAACGACAAGGAGCTTGGTTTCCAACTTGACGGTCTTTTGTCCATTTTGCAAGAAAATAATTGTATTAGTTCTTAAAAATTCTTATGATGAATGTGTACCCCGCGCTGAGGGTGTCTCCATTTCTCATTTGGTGCATTTCCCTCCACCCCCTCAAAACGGCATCGTCTGGAGTGGGAGAAAAAAAAAAAGAAAGCCAAAAAAAAAAAAAACAAAAGAAAGCCAAATAATATGTTGTTTTCCTCTCCAACACCAGCGCGCGGGAACTTCTCTATTTTTCTCATTCGTCCAGAACAGAGACGTGCTCACACAACAGAAAGAAATTCTGACCAAGAAAAGATTTCAATTAAGGAAGGATTTTGATTGTAATTTGGTATGGTTCCATTTTTTTCCTGTGCACTGATCATTTCTATCCCTCATTTAAACTTAAAACTTGCTGAACGTGGTTGCCATTCTCTCTCTCTTTCTCCCTTACATTGGTCATTTTCCTCCCCTGTTTTTATGTTTAAATTTATTTTGAAACACATTACTAATTTGCCATGGACTTGTGCTATAAAGAAATTCTTTTAATGACAGTCACAGCTACAAGAAAGTAATGCTGACCATTTAACACGTTATTATCCCTTAGCTTTGCATAAATGAATGCATCACCAAGCTCTTAGGTTATTTTTAAATTCATTAACAGTTTTTTGTTAACTCTCATGAATAAATGTTTATTTATTTTTTTATCTGCTTACTCTTGCTTTTAGTGTTTTTGTTTTTCAGCTTTTCTTGTTAGCTTTAAGTAATGGACACAATTATGACTCCAACAGTTGGTCTTGAATTTGATGATCTAGAAGAGGCATAGCAACATTGGATTGACTATGGTGGAAGAATAGGATTCAGTGTTAGAAAGCAAAACTCTAATAAGAGCAAGAAGGATGATTCTATCATATATTGCAAATATGTTTATTCCAAGGAGGGAGTGAAAAAAGTAGATAAAAGAGACTTTAAAACTAAGAAGCCTCGAAAGGAAACAAAAACAGGGTGTAAAGTGAAAATGATAATTAAAAAGGTGAATGAAAGATTTAGAGTTAGTGAACTATTTTTAGACCATAATCACTCTTTAGAGCCCTCAGAGACTATTCATTTGTTAGCATCACAAAGGAGATTACCGAAAGCACAAAGCTATGCTTTGGAGGTTGCTGAAGATACAGGGATTAAGCAAAAAGCCTCTTTTGATTTAATGAGCAAATATGCAGGAGGGAGGGCTAATTTGGGGTATACCAAAGAGGAGGTAAAGAGTTATCTAAGATCAAGGAGGCAACAAGACATGATCTATGGTGAAGCTGGGTTTCTACTTCGCTATTTTCAACAACAATTAACAGAAAATCCTTCATTTTTTCATGCTTATCAAATGGACTCAGAAGAGCAGATAACTAATGTGTTTTGGGCTGATGCACATATGTTGATAGATTATGATTATTTTGGAGATGTCATTTCATTTGATACAACATACTCTACAAATCGTGACAATAGACCACTTGCCATTTTCTCAGGTTTCAACCATTACAGAGAAGTAGTGATATTCGGTGCTGCTTTATTATATGATGAGACTATTGAGTCTTTTAAATGGCTTTTTGAAACCTTTTTACAAGCACATAAGCAAAAAATGCCATGTACTATGTTTACTGACCAAGATGCAGCAATGGCAAGAGCTTTAGAAGAAATAATGCCAAATGTAAAGCATGGCTTATGCACATTCCACATCAATAGAAATGGGGTGAAACATCTTGGGAACTTAATGAAAGATGGCTCTCATTTTTTGGGTGAGTTTAATTGGTGCATGTATCATTGCAAGGAAGAAACAAGGTTTGAGGAATCTATTATCAAAATATAATGTAGAAGAAAATCCATGGTTGATGTCTATTTACAAGTTAAAAGAAAAATGGGCAGCATGTTACATGAAGCACTCAAAGACTCTTGGTATGAGAAGTACACAACCCAGTAAAAGTATCAATTCATTTATAAAAAGTTGCACTAATCCTGAATTGACTATTAGTCAATTCTTCAATGTCTTTAAATAAGTTGTTATGGATAAGCGATATAATAAATTGCAAAGTGATTTCAACTCATGCCAGAAGTTTCCAAGGTTGATTTTGAAGAGTTCGTCTATGTTGCAACAGCTTTCTCAAGTTTACACACCACCAATTTTTGACTTGTTCCAGCATGAGTATGACTTATGTGATGCTACGTGTATAAAAGAGAGGAAAGAAAGAAAAATAGCTGCAGATGATGATGCTCTTGTTATTGATTATGTAATCACAATGGTTGATAAAAAAGGAGAGTGAAGATTAACATTTGAGCCATCAAGAGAAGATAAAGAGGCTGTCATTACTTGTAATTGTAAGAAGTTTGAACAATGGGGAATATTGTGCTGTCATGCATTGAGGATATTATATGACCAAGATGTAAAGCTACTTCTAAAGCAATATGTGTTAAAGAGGTGGACAAAAGAAGCAAGGTGTGGTGTAGTGCATGATAGTAAGGGAAAGGAAATTGAAGTTGATCCTAAACTAGAATGCTCGAATCGATATAGGCAATTGTGCCCTATGCTCATAAAATTAGCTAGTGATGCATCTGAATGT